TTCCCTTAATTTATTTATTTATTCACTTTACATCCCAATATCAGACCTTCCTCTCCTCCCAGAGACCCCATTTACACAATTCCTCCCCTGTCCTCCTTCCTTTATCCTCTGAGAAGGGAGAGGCCCCTCTTGGGTATCACCCCTGCACCCCCAGCATATCAAGTCCCTCCCAAGACTAGGTGCATCCTTTCCCATTGATACCAGACAAGGCAGCCTGGTTAGGAAAATGAGATCCACAGACAGGCAACAGAGTTAGGAACAGTGACAGCCCCTGTTCCAGTCTTTGGGGGACCTTCATGAAGACCAAGCTGCACATCTGCTACATATGTGCAAGGGGCATAGGTCCAGCTCATGCTTGCTCTTTGGTTGGTGGTTCAGTCTCTGGGAACCGTCAGGGATCCAGGTTAGTTGACACTGTTGGTCTTCCTGTAGAGTCCCTATCCTCTTTGGGTCCCTCAATTCTCCCAACTCTTTCATAGGACTCCCCAAGCTCCGTCTAATGTTTGGCTGTGGGTCTCTACATCTGTTTCCATCAGCTGCTGAATGGAGCCTCTCAGATGGCAGTTATGCTAGGATCCTGTCTGCAAACCTAACAGGGCATCATTAATAATGTTAGGGGTTGGTTCTTGCTCGTGGTGTGGGTCTCAATTTAGACCAGTCAATGACTGGGTAAACTTGCAACCCCGACAAGCAGGCAGCACCATCTGCTGTTGTTTTTTGCTCCTAAGGACTCAGCGACTGTGAGGCTGGACTGGGATCAAGCACGTGGTGACTGGGAAGTTACTTCCTACTGTCTCACTGGAAGTGCTTAATTTCATGCTGCTGGTTTTTTTTCCCCTCCAGGCTGGTAGATGCTCATTTCTGATAAAAGGCTGTCAAATTATGGCCTACAGGTCATATGAAACAGATTTAATTAGTGAAGTGTTTGCAGAGTATGTTTCCTAAGGAAAAAGCAAAGTGTAAATACCTTGTCCTTATCCTAGGTAAACTTACATAATACATAGGAAGATGGGGGAGAAATACGTGAAAGATCATGTGGGGAGTTTTGAGTACTGTGAGTGGTAAGACGCTCTTGAAGGTACAAAAGAGGTGTCGTTCCTTGGGGACCAGGTTGGCAGGGAGGTATTCATAATGGAGCTACAGCGTAGGCTGTGCCTGAGGGGGAAGGAGAATGCCTTGTAGAGCAGATGGTGACAACTGTGGACAGTGGCACCCTAGAGCCTATAATACACGGAAAGTTCTAGATTCCTGTGTCACACTGTTCTCAGTGAATCTGTGAAATGGAGTTCATCTTATTCCTATTCTAGAAATAAGGTTTATAATAGTTTAAAACATACACAAGAGGTGCTGTTGGTAACAACACCCAGAGCAGGGCATAAGGCACACCTGTAATCTTACACCTTAGACATGGAGATAGGAAGAGGACTAGCTCAGACTCCTTCTTAGCTATATGTAGAGCTATCCTGAACTACATGAGATGGGGTTCCATTTCAGAAACACAAATACGACCCCAAAGATAAGCAAGATTTTATTTTATTTTGCTTTGCTTTTTTAAAAAAAGATAATAGTTCTATTCTTTGATAATTATATATAAGGAATTTTGATCATATTCCCCTCTCATTCTTTTCCCCCTAATTTTTTTTAATAACCCATTAAGTCTAGTTTGTGTTGTTCATGATGTGGGGCCGTCTACTAGAATGTAGTGACCTACCAGAGCCATACCCTTACAGAAAACTGACTTTCCCTCCCAAGAAGCCATCAGCTGTCAATACCTTCACATCTAAGACTGGGGCTTGTAAGCCTTCCTTAAACTGAATTTTTTGGTAGATACCATTTTAGGATTTTTCCATTGTTGCAGTATTTTATTCAGAGTAGAAATTCTTTATCTCATAGTTCTTGCATAATTTTTATCATAAGCATTCTCCAGTCACCAACGTTTTGTAAACATAAGTCTGCAGTGACTGTATATAATGTACTGTTAAGTGGACACCCACACTCTTTTTCAGTATTAGCAGAAGATGAGATTGGGGCTTCCTGAAAGATCTCTAACTCACATAGCTTAAAAGGAATTCTGTGGTTCTGGGAACACATGGAAACCAGACCATGAGCGCTAACAATGTCATGAAATAGAAAACTGTAGGGTTGAATGAAGACAAAACCATGTGTCATGGTTTCAGTAGGAAGTGTCTTTCAAAGACTCGGGGGTTGAAGGCTCGGTCTCTGTTGGTGGTTGGTGCTGTTCTGAGAAATTGTGGAAATATTAGGAGATGGGGCCTAGTTGGAGGAAGTGGGCCTCTGAAAGTTGTAACTTGTCCTAGTCTCTTCCTCTTGTCTCTACTTGCCAGTCCTTATGAGACAGGTATCTCTGCTCCACTGCATGTTCCCCACCACGATCAAGGTGTTAAGCCTTGTCCATAGTGACAGAGCCAGAAGAGTGAGGACTGAAACTGTGAGCCAAAACAACCCTTCTTCTAACTTATTTTCCTTTACCTAGTAGGCCAAAGGACACTGTAAGAGAAAGGAAGCCCGAGGTTATGTTCCCGCAGAGCAGAAGCTAAGTAAACCCTTTTTCCTCACCACTCATCGCTGGGTGAGGACCCATCCTGGACCTACATGTTTGCAACAGGAATAGGCTTCAGGCATTTTCTACCTCAAACACCAAAAAGAAGGGGTGCCTCACCACCCTCATTCCAGAGGTTCCTTCGTGCCTCTTTCTCTCCTGGTCCCAATCTGAAGAGGGGTGCACATCACCAACTCTCAAGTTAACTCCTGGTTTTGGCCATATTGTGACTTGGGATTCTCCTGTTGTTTGTCCACACTTCTTCACCAGTTTTCACAGAAATTCCTTCAGACTTCAGCCCAGGTTTTCTTTCTGTTGTGCTCCCTATCTCAGCAGTACCTCTGACTATGGGGCATGCCCTCCTGCACACCCTTGTTGGTTCACATGTGCCTGACACTAGCTCCCTACTTGGGCCGCTGTCCTGGTAGCCTGTGTCCAGCTGGGCACAGCAGCAGAGCCGTCTCTTGTTCTCAGCTGTCCCTCCTCTTGACATACTCACAGAGTACGTTCTCATGCCCTGTGTGTTGTTTCAGGGCTGGCTGTTGCTCTTGTCTTTGCTAGATATATAGTGGACAGATTTTCAGCAGATACTATAAACCCTAGAAGACATCAGCCATGGTATATATTTCTCTATGCTGATGCAGCAATACCGGATGTCACCGATATGCAAAAAATTCTTTCCTCCAAAAGTACAGAAATAGGAAAAGATGTGCATGATTTTCTCTGAGAAAGGATATCCAGTTTTATAAATATGTCTGGGCCACTCTAACAAGAGGCCTGCCTCTGCCGTAGGTGAAAACCCCGCAGGCATTGAGCAACAGCAGATGATTCAGTAACAAGAGCGGAATGGACTCTGTCTGTCTTTCTGTACCACTATTCTCTTTGGTTCCCAGATTAGAGTTTTAGGAGTAGAAATATCATTGATATTAACTCATGGCTATAATTTTCTGCCAAAAACTATAGTTCTAATATCATTTGATGATTCTCAGTAGCTAGCTGATACAAGTTCTCTGTCTGCTTTATGGTTACATTAGAACGAGGGACTAGAAAAAGAGTTGACACTTAGTAAGCGTTTGTGCCGTACTGTGCCCTGCTTTGGTTGCTATTCAAGTCTTAACTCGTGATACTCCCTTCAGGAATATACTATTATTAGCATTTTATAGACGAGGAAACAGAAAAACAAAATCCTTTAACTGTACCTCAAGGTCAGACGGCCAGTAAAGAACAGAGCAGAGCGAGCCTTAACCTTCATCCTGCCTCTAAGTCCATGGTTTTACCAAACTATGCTTTCATACATTTAGATTTTAGGGTTTTTTTCCCTACCTATTATTGCTGTTTGGTGTTTTGTTTCTGTTTGTTTGTTTTATTTAGGATTGGTTTTGTGGTCCTGGATGTTAAACCTAGGGACTCCTATACCAGCCTAAGGCTTTCCCATTGAGCTGTCTCCCAGCCCTGTAATACTTATTAACACATACAATGCACGGTCTTGTAAACCAAATGAAGCTTATCATCGTGTGGACTGTGCTAAGGTACTCATTCACTGTACTCATTCACTGCCCTCATTCTTTTTCTCATTAAATCACTGATCTACCTCTCCCTGGGTAAAACTATATACTATTGGAGTTTAAAAATCAGAATACATTTCTCACACAAACATAGTTGTCTTTTAAGTTTCCTATAGTAAATGAATTTTTCTCTGTCTGAGTCCCACTCCTTCATGCTCTGGCTGGTCTGTGTTGTGGTAGCACTGGAGAAGCAGATGCTTTTGCTCCTGAGAAGCCAAGCTGTGGTTGCAGACAACATGACTTAGGCCTTAGTCACATGGTGTTGGCTGTCCTGCCTTGGCTAACTTCCCTACTTCTTTCTGGGTCTTTAAAGTTGCTGCTCACTGGGAAGAAGTGAGGTGGAGGGAGATTATAATTCTCTCTTGAGTTGATTCTCCTGATGCTGTTAAAGAGTTCTTTAAATACTTTAGTCAGGGTCACTCTGAACTGTGAGTGGGAGGTGTAATGTAGCCCAAGCCCCCTTTTTAAATTTTTTAAATGAAAGACTTGAGATAATAGTTTCTCACCAAGATTGACTTATACTGAAGAATAACCCAGTGGTCTTCCTTTAATTCCTGCTCCTCCCTTTGTTTATTTGATTGGCAGATTGTTGTCTGTTTGTTTGCGGGTGGGAGAGTTGTACACATGGTCCCTGCCCTACATGTGAGATCACAGGACGGCTTGTGGGTCCAGGGATTGGGCTCAGTGGTCACCTTGGCAACAAGTGCTTTTATCCTCCAAGCCATCTCTCTAGCCTGTGGTTTCAAATAGTTTTCTCCTTTCTCACATATGTAGTTCAGTTTCAGAATGCTTCACCACACTCACTTTTAGAAAAACATCCATTGTTATAACGTCATGCTCTGGTTGTTCTAACAGTACACTTTCTCTATCCACAGGAGGATCTTAAAAAGTGAGCCTCCGTATCCCCAGGAAATGAGTGCAGTGGCTAAAGACCTCCTTCAGCATCTTTTGATGAAAGATCCCAAGAAGCGATTGGGATGTGGCCCACGGGATGCAGAAGAAATCAAAGAACATCTCTTCTTTGAGGTGAAGTTTAGGAGATGAGTCTATTTAATCCCTGTTGGGGTCACTTCCCCATTTCTCCTACCTTAGCCCCCAATTCTTTGGGCAGATAACGTTTAGGAAGGGCCAGAATTCTACTTGTATAGACCTAAGTGCCTTTCCCTCCCTAAAGCACTAAGCGAAGAAGGTCGTGATAGCATTACATTTTCTCCACATTGATGTCCAACCTCTGACACTAAGACAGAATGTTGTCAGCTATAGAGTTTATGCTTGAGAATAGAACAGTTGAGTTGCCCAAAATATTGCCCCCTGAAGTCTCTTTGTGCTCAGGTTTACCCTGTGTTAGGCCACATTCATGGCCATTGAGGGTTGTGTGTAGCCTGTAGGTTGGACACAGCTGGTGAGTCCTAGGTAGTGCTCTCTGTAGATGTTTTGGTTTGCATTTGAACTAAGGAGATGTGTATCCTTTGTATGAATTCATGAGCTGTTGTAATGGGTTCCACCTTTGTTTACCGATTCCATTGCCTCTTCTGTTTCCAGGAGAAATCTTAGAATGTTTAAGCCTGCCTGGTTCTCATTGTCAGCAGCATTTGCATTTGCTTTCTCTGCTCTGTAACAGAGCTTTTCTTATGAGAAAGCCAAGCGACAATTCCACAGAGCACCAGCACATCTGCCAGGTTCATGTTTTCAGCTCACTCCAAGTAAAGGCTAATAAATAATGGGGAGGGTGGCTGAGCTGCTTAGTTATGTCAGTCAAATGGTGAAGCCTGAGGTAGCATGGCCTCCGTTTCTAAAATCCTGAACGTTACAGCATTTAAATAACTTCACATATCAACAAGCATGGCCTTGGTGTTTAAAGGTCTGGTGGAGTCATCCATGTTATGTTTTTATTCTGTAAAATTTGTATTATTATCACTAAAACAAACAGGGTATAGCAAGGAAAGAAGAAACAGTTATTTCAGTTACGTTTTCGTAGTGTTATTATTGCTTGTTAAATATAAAGGCAAGGCTGGGGTGTAGCTCAGTGGTGGGGCACTTGTGTGGAGTGTATGAGGCCGTAGCCTTTTAGCTCTGTGTGGGGGCTGGGAGGAGGTTTCCTCATTGAAGATGAGGTCTCTTCACTTCTGTGTGAGCAGTGTGTTTATTTTAGTCTCTTCACCCATCTTTTAAAAATGTTACTGTAAAACTTTAAAGTTCAGTAACACAGTGACAAGCATATTTAGAATCAAACGAACTCAGTATTGTGCATTGGCTGAGAAATATTACTTTTCAAACATACATTGTATCCTGTTCATATTTGAGCTTCAAAATGAACAAGTATGTAAAATTAAACAGAATGCTCTATTGTCCTTTCCTACAACTTTTTTCCTCAGTTGTTCGATGAGCTTGTGACTATCATAGCATGTCTTTAGCATAGGAGGTACTTATCTTCTTGATAGCTTGGAATGGTAATTTTAATTTATGTAATTGCTCTCACTTTTAAATGATGGGGTAGACCAGAAATCCACTTACAAAGATCTAAATGATCTTTTCTCTACAATGCTATAGAGGTGGGAAGAATCATAATAACATTCAATTTTCTCCACATTGAACATTCTTCTGATAACAGTGTGTTTCTTTAAATTACCCCTTTACTCTAGAAGTTTGTCATTTTTTTAAAGATTCTTCTTAAAATTTTTAAGAAATAATGTGTGTGCATGCATGTATATGTGCGTGTGCATACATTCACTCATGCTCATACGAGTGCATACATATGAAGGAGAAAAGCCAACTCATGGGAATCAGTTCTTTGCTCAACCATGTAGGAAGCTGAAGAACAAACTCCGACCATCATGTTTGCCGGCAAACATCCTTACTGTGCTGAGCCACTTCACCTGGCCCAGAATTTGTCTTGATGTTTGTTCAGTAAGTGAAACACAGAGCAGATGCCTGTAATAGAAGCTCCACAGCCTCATAGAGGAGTGAACACTAGCTAGAAAGTGGGCAGAGTTCTCATCCACACTTCCAGCAACTGATACTTCAGTGAGAAATATTTTAGTTCTTATTTCTGGCCTCAAGATTCTGAGACAAATGAAAAAGAGAAATTATCTCTGAGACTCATCAAAACTGAGAAGCTTGAAGAATTACCATTTAATTATTTCTACTTCCTTTATAAGAGAAGATAATTTGCTAAATTTCATCAAGTGTAATTTTTACTTTCCGCACCACTGAGTCAATATTCATCTTTAAGTAGGAATCACCACTTCTCCTATTGACGGTGCTTCTTTCTGTCTTAATGGTATATAGAATGATGTTATCATCTTATATTGAAGACTTAGAAAGAAATCTCTAAAATCCAGTTCAGCAAGTACTGAGGAGATTTTAATTGAAGAAGGAGCATAAAGAAATAACAAAGGGTTGAATTTGAACAATCCAAAACAGATCAGTTACTCAGACGGTGTGTGTGGGAAACAAGAGGCAGTATCTAAGTCGTGAATGGAGTTGAATGAGCTACAATGACAAGTGTCACTTAGACCTCCAGTATACAAATGCATTTTGACTTGTGGCACTTTTACTTTGTAATCTTTCTGGTGACCCAAAGGAAAACCAGTGTAAGGGGATATAGCACAGTGAGCCTCTAGACCATAGGAATTGCTATCACAGCCACAGAACACACTGAAGCCTATTAGAGCAGTGTTTTATGGTTTGAGGGATTCGTCAGTTGGAAAGTTGGTTGGTTCGTTTTCATTTTGACTCAATTCTTTTCTGCCAAGGCTCAGTACGAAAGTAATTTGTTGTTAACGCTGAGGTTAAACCAGCGTGTCTTGGTGCCCTCTAGAGGACACTGAGATTCCTGCAGTAAGAAAGCAGCAGGCACCTTCCACATAATACAGACTGAAAATGGGATCATTCTTGAAAAAAAATGGTATTTTTAATCTTTAGTTTGAAATATGTACTCTTATTTTTAATGAAACTTATTAGTAACTGAACTCTTAGCCAGGAGTGGTGGCGCACACATTTAATCAATCCCAGCACTTAGGAGGCAGAGGCAAGCATATCTCTGAGTTCAAAGCCATCAAGTTTACATAGAGTAATGGTTCTCAACATGTGGGCTGCTTGATCACCAAACCTTTCACAGGGGTCACCTAAGACCGTCAGAAAACATGGATATTTACATTATGATTCATAACAGTAGCAAAGTTTCAGTTATAACTTAGCAATGAAAATAATTTTATGGTTGAAGGTCACCACAACATGATGAACTGCAGTAAGGAGCTCAGCATTAGGAAGGTCAAGAACTACTGCCATAGAGAATTCCAGCCGGCCAGAGCTATAAAGTGAGACTGTCTTTAAAAAAGAAAAAAAAATAATCACATCTATTGATCATGATATAGTTTGTTTTTGTTTTGTTTTTTATGTCTGCTCTGTCCCAATCTTCTTTCTGTGCTCTAGAAGATAAATTGGGATGACTTAGCCGCCAAAAAAGTGCCTGCGCCATTCAAGCCAGTGATCCGGGATGAGTTAGACGTGAGTAACTTCGCCGAGGAGTTCACAGAGATGGACCCCACCTACTCTCCTGCAGCCCTGCCCCAGAGCTCTGAGCGGCTGTTTCAGGTAAAGCTACAGGGGGCCAGGCATGCTTTGGAAGAAAGCCAGTTTTCTCTAGTGAGGTGGTTTGTTGGCATGACATCAGAGTTCTATAATCTCTTCAGAGTTAAATTTAGAGATATGTTGAAGTACTATCTTGAAGTTTGCAGTTTACTAAATAGCAGCCTTATTATAGATTTTATGTGTATGTTTTGAGTTTTTTTGTTGTTTTGTTTTGTGGGGGATTGCTAGTCTTGAACTTCTGATTCTCCATAGCTGTGACCAAAGGTGTGTGTTAGAACACCCAACCTGTGTTTGTTTTTATGAGGAAGTATTCATTCTATACTTGAAAATTCATTGCTGTTGAGGCTCATATGAAAATTACAATGCTATTTTTATTCTTTACTCTATTCTTTAAACTATTCAGTATTGTCTGGACCTTTATCTTCAGTGATAATAATAATAATAAAATATATATATTCTCTAATTCTTAAAGTCTTGAACCAAGGGGGCCAGAGATGTAGAGTGCTCCCCTAGCCTGCAGGACACTCTGGGTTTAGTTTGTAGTACTGTGTAGTGGGAGATGTTTAAATCTCCAACTCGAATAGGACTGGTCAATGAAAACACAACTCAGTAATTATGAATATATTCTGTAAGCCTAGATTGGCAGATACCCCTTACACTACTCTGTTCCCCAGCTATGAGTCTCTTATAACTTGAGGATTTTCCAGACCCTGTGTCTGTCCTTCTACCTCCTGCTTCCCAGTCGTCTTCCCTCTCTCTTCTCTCCCCAGCCTTTATTTCTACACCTCCCTTTCCTCTGCCCAATAATTGGCTCCAGCCTTTATTTTACAAATTAACATGGGCAGAAGGTTCACTAGAAATCACCTGTGTAATGACTCACACCTCCTCTGCAGCCCTTCACAGGAAAGGGGGATTAGTATCAAAATACAAGGCTGGGGCTATCCACAACAGTACTGCATAAAACTGGGTATAGTGGCACTCACCTGTAATCCCAGTGCGCCAGAGGGTAAGAAGTTCAAGGTCACCCTCAACTACACAGTGAATTGAAAGCCAGTGGAACCCTGTCTCAAAAAAAAAAAAAAAA